AGAAAAAAAAATGTAACATTATTTATTTTTGTTAACTTATGTAATATTTAAATTATTTATCTGTTATTTATCATCCATAATACCTTCTATTATTTGTAAATATTATTTTTTATATAATACTCAATGGCCTTATTCTATGATATATAGAGAAGTGGAAGAAATGGAGGAGGCAAATGCCCACGTCTATTTCTTCCAGTTTTTTCAATCCAGTCCCACTTACACTTAACAAGTGAGTAGTTGTCAGAAAATCATTTTAGCTGTCAGATATTTTTTCATTAGTTATTCCTTACTAACTGTTGCTGTGGCCCGCGGCTTCACCCGCATATTAAAGCATACACTGATCTCGATTCTTGTCATTCTAAGAATATACATATATATTTAATTTAAATAGATTTCAACGTAAAGGTTACAACACACAACTTTCACAGAATAGATATAAATTAGAAGGAATCATGAGACTTAAGAGTGCGGTCAGCTTCAAGTGATTATTATTATTACTTTATTGGATATTTATAATTTTTTTTAATTAAAACAAAATAAGATTCGGAAGGAGATAAACTATTCAAATAAAACATAAAATTAAAAATGTTTATTAAATAATCTGAAACTGCAACTGTTTTCTAAACAACTGCCGCTTTGATGACGCTATCCTTGAAATGTTATCTTTTTTTGATTCATAAAAGAATCGAACTAAAAATGTTAAATATATCTAAATTAGAAAAAAAAAACAACCATAGGCTATGTTATTTATCCTAAAACACATACCATAAAAAGGTAAAAACAACTGCACATTATCTAAACAAAATAATATCAACACATTTTTTTTCTTGGCAAATAGAAACCCTAATAATATTTCATCATCATCATCATTACAGCCTTTCATAAGTCTACTGCTGAACATAGGCCTCCCCCAAGGAATGCCACAAAGCACGGTCCTGTGTCACTCCATCTTGTGGGGGGTCGCCCTACACTTCGCCTACCGGTACGAGGCTACCACTCAAGAACCTTTCTTCCCCATCGGTTGTCGGTTCTTCGAGCTATATGACCGGCTCACTGCCACTTCAGCTTACTAATCCGTTGGGCTATGTCGGTTACTCTAGTTCTACTGCGGATATACTCATTTCTAAGTTTATCACGCAGAAAAACCCCGAGCGTAGCCCTTTCCATAGCTCGCTAAGCGACCTTGAGCTTCCTCATACGGCCAGCAGTGAAGGACCACGTCTCAGATCCGTAAGTCATCACGCACTGGTAATAATATTTGGCAAATTATTATTATTTATTTATTTATTTCATACATTATATTTATTAGTTACACATTACATAACGGTACAATAATAAGTCTATAGAAACTTTACCGTGTACCGATATCGCCGACAATAATAAAAATGAGGGTGAAGTAAAAAATTACACTTTACATTTATTAAGTACAATTACTATTTATTAAGTGCGTGATCGGCTATTGCAGGATGCAATGTTCATGGATTGTATATACAGGACGCTTGTTTTAATGCGTTAACGTAATATTTATTGGTAATACATAAATATTATGTATTATTTAAATTATTTAATAAAAATAAAAATACCTATTTATATGTGAATGAGACTATTAGCAGTATGTATGTATTTTTTTCAATATGCATTTTTATAATTATAATAATAAGAAAAAATGGGGTAAAATATTTTACCATGCCTAGAAACATTTTCATTATGTTGGCGTCTGTCAAATTTATTATTTATTATTTTCTTTTGATGAATGTTTTTTTACAAAAATATAAGATGCTAGGCAGTACTTAACCGTGAAATGAGATTTTTACATTTTTTTCGTGATTATGTGATGGAGTTGTGACTCCCTTTCACAGTACAGTACGTCATTTTTTTTTAAAATTGTGCGAGCTGTTTACATGACTACGTGGACTCGAGTACTAACGTGCGAAAAGTCGTACTTAGCCTTTAAAGGCTAACTTGAAATGGCTTCACTTTGCGTGCGCCTACTGCGGTTCTAAGCCTAATACTTCTATGTTCATGGCTTATTTTAATAGGATTCTGCTAATATTTAATAATTCAATTTTAATCGATTAATAGGTAAATTAATTGTGCATATCTCAGATTAATATGTATGTAATTATACTTTAAGGAACAAGCCAAAAAAAGTTTAACAGAGAATTAACATTTTCAGTTTCTTATAATATGAATTTATGTATCTTATTTTTAAAATAGAAATATGAAGCAACGCAAAGGAAAGAAACAGCGATATCTTTTTTTCGTTTTATTTTGTTACTCTCAACCCAACAATAACAAAATTATGATTGTTTGCAAATTTCTGGAATTTCATACAAAGTTGGATCACCTGATATATTACTACCTCCTAATTATTAACTCAAAATTCGTAGGCTGTGATTATACTATAATTTTATTACTTCTTATTTGTTTGTGGATCTGGACGTAGCATAGACCAAAGAGTATAGTCACTGTCCTTACTTTCTAAGTCTGTGGGACATAGTGATTTAAAGGTCTGCCACATATATTCGGAATTAGAAAAGCAGTTTTGGAATTTCGATTCAGGGTTCCGTAAATACATCACACATACATTTATTTTCCTTCGGAATAACAAGGCTTAGTTGAGAGATGCTAAGCATTGAGTGCAGACATTCAGCCAGTGAATATAGAAGACGGTTTTCTAATTGCGATTGCATTGTTGCTGTAATTAGCCAAGAATAAAAAATACTTCGTCACTGGCTGTAATTAACTGTTCGATGTAACACATCGCGCGTGTACATTTACGTACGCGGTAGCTTAAAATACATAAACAGAATTATTCGCTTCGGCCGTGCGACGCACACTGGGTTACATATGTATTCCGTACGGAATTTACGAACGTGTGATGTAATTCAAACAAAATCTATGTAAGACTTGTGTTCGAAACGGCTTTTTTCAGTGCGAGAATCCGAACGAACAGGCAAACATGCGGAATTTCGAATGGAAGAAAATGTCGAATGGAAAACTATTGTAGGTGTGCGATAGGTCCTTGATTTTATATGAATTTGCTGCATTCGAAATCGCAAATAAATATTCTGAAACGGGATTCCGACTGTATGGGGCCTGCCTTAAACTGTTTGGAATCTGGTGGAACTCCTCATTCTTTGCTTATTCCTCCACCTCTAGTTAATAGTTATACTCCTTTAATACTACACTGAATCAGGGTCCCATAGCCCTTAAAAAGAGAGGTGTAATAACTGCAAGGCTGTAAGGGTTCCTAATTAGGGCATCGAAGTACATCCGTTCCGTAGTGCGCTTACCACCGTGCAGTGTAATAAGACTAAGGGCAGGTAGGGCACTTACTCGATGCGCGATTCGGGATGAAAACGAATCATCGATTTTTCAAACATCGATATATCGTTTAAGAACATCGTTCTTCATGAGCGATGTTTTATGAACAATGTTTTGGCTTGCCGCTAAAAGTCAGAGCCACGAGCTTACAAAATAAACATCTATTGTAAAGTGTAAAATTCGGTATGTTAAAAATTGAAGACGACCATTATCATGAATTTTATGTCGATGAAATATAAATATTCAAAAAAATTAAGTCGAGGAGTTTATAAATAATGAAAATCGATTGAAATTGTTTCATTAACTTTTTATTAATAATTATATTGTCTGAGCTTTATCTTGATCAATAGCTTAAGAACAATCTTATAAGGTAATAGTTGTTTTGTAACAGAAATTTTTGGAACGAACTTCCTTATCTGACTGTACAGGTTTGGCGGATGAGAGCTAGGTGACAAAAAGTGTAAGATCTTTTCGACACTACCTCTTGTGTCATATTGTAGACGGCCTTGTCGGCAAAATAAGGAAGTGAGATGGAATAATATCCATCTCCCTCGCACTTTTTCTTATCTTGACATGAAAGAAATATTATTTTATTTCAAATGACGCTTCATTTTAATAGACGCTAGTAATTTATTTATTTGTGTTTGTTAATCAATAATATAATACCTACGTTTATCCATAATAATATCCTACGCAAGATACTTCGTTCCAACCGATTGTTCCACGACACGCACGCATTTTTTTTATCGGCTAACGTTACTTCGTATTTCGTTACAATCACTTTTCTGAAATATTGATTTTGACAGATGAACGGTTATTCGCCTGTTTGTATTTCGGCATAGTATAGTTCTGTAGATGTATTCGGAAAAGGCGATAATTCTGAAGGTGACATATGGAACTACCATATAGAATTAACACACCATAACATAAGAAAAAAAGTAAAGCAAAAACAGGATGTACTTAATGATTTCTTATATTTACGCGAAGACTACTTTAATGAAAGTAATTTTTACGGATTTTATCGCGTTTAATTTAACTTTTCAATTCTTGACCTTTCGGGTGCTTTACACCACCCATGGTCAAAGGTGGGGGGGGGGGGGACTGGTGTGTTTGACGTCCCGGTTATAGTTAGCCCGGCTGCCTTCAGGTTTTGAATATTAATCGTTTCTTTATTTCTTTTCAAAAAAAAAAACATATAGCTGTCTTGAAGCACCGACGTTCCGGGAAGTATGTAGTGTGTGAACATGTTCAAGATCGTCCCCGCCATTACATTAGATATGATAGACCACAAATCCTTGCAAAATAACACCGATTCCTACTTCCGGAATTCCGAAACGGAATCCCGAAACGGAAATTCGTATGTATTTGACGGGCCTTAGTCTCACAGGTTATTAGTCTATGTCTGTGGTTTATGCAATTATGCATAGATAAACACAAACTGGTGTAACTGAAATGCGTAATGGTTTTGACCATAGATAAATAGATATGTAGCAAGGTTTTGACATGGTTTTAGTTGTACCTAAACACGAGATTCAGTTTTTTGGATTAGTGCTAATATTTTTACTTTCGAAAATGGATATTATGTGTTGATTTAACTGCTTTTATTGATATCGAGTGGTTACTTTCATTTAAACTTTGTTGTGAGTGCGTAACGTCAGCGGTACGACGTAATCATGGCGGACCCCCTAAGTTTACTTCGACAATATAATGTAAATAAAAAAGAAATTATTGAAAGAGACAATCAGATTATCTTTGGTGAATTCTCTTGGCCCAAAAATGTCAAGACAAATTATCTTATGTGGGGGTAAGTTCGTATATTTATTTATAAACTGCAAATTCTATAATGAACTGAGTAGATCACAAATACTTTACACATTTATTTTTATTTATTTACATAGATCGGGCAAAGAAGGAAACAATAAGGAATATTATACGCTGGAATGCCTTCTATTTATTCTTAAAAATATACATTTAACTCATCCAGTATACGTCAGACAAGCAGCTGTAAGTTAAAAATATTTGATGTACCTAATAATTTTTTGAAAACTATATCTGCAATATTAAAATTATTTTCTCGTAGGCTGCAAACATACCGGCTGTTCGTCGTCCTGATCGTAAAGAGCTGCTTGCATATTTAAATGGAGAGACTGCTACTTGTGCTTCAATAGACAAAAGTGCACCATTAGAGATCCCCACTCAGGTTTGTTTTTATATTTTAATATATTATTATTGATGTATGCATTGCAGCTGTATAATGTGAATGATTTATAAGTTATGTAGCAAGGTCAAAAAGTTTTTTTTCTTCAATATGGCCTTTGATATTATGGTTAGATTGCATTAATTCTGCTAACGTCTGGTCTCTGGTCTGTCACATATTATGGTCTTGTTGCTTCTCGGTGGGAAAGGAGTTGGAATGAAATGAAAAGGGAAAGAGGGTGAAATTTAACATGAAATTATTTTTCCTTTTCTATATTTTCTTCATTAACCATAATACACTTCTCAAACTGTTCAAATAACCTTATACCTTCAAAAAATGTTTTGTCAAGGCCCTCCAAATATCTGAAATTGCCGATTCACTTTTTTGTCATGTGGAAATTTCTTTGCCCAGAGCTCTTTTTTCATATTTGGTAACAAATAACAATCCCAAGGGGTTAAATCTGGACTATAAGGAAGGTTGTTTAAAGTTTTGAAGCCGCACTTGTGTTAGGAAGCCGTTGCAATACAATAAATCTTGAGAATGAATGTGTTGTTGTGCAAAAGGAGTACACCTTAAAACAACTTTCCCCTTTTTTTTCCTTAATCACATCTTTAAATTTTTCTAGTAGCGTATCATAATACTGTCTCAGGATATTAACTCCTTTACCTTTATAATCGATCAATAAAATCGCTATCTGTATCCCGAAAAAACTGAAGCCATAATCTTTCGAGCTGATTGTGACCTCTTAGGCAGTGCTGTGCCTTTTTTGCCACTGCATGGACTCCTGCTTTGACTTAGGTTCATAGTGATGAACCGAAGTTTCATCCCCAGTCACAATTTGGGTTATAATTTTGTCCCTGTTCTCACTACACAGGTCCAAAAACTTGCACAAATGCTCAACCCACTGCTGTTTCTGAAGTGGTGTAAGCATTCTTAGCATCAATCTTACAGGCTAAGATTGTTTTGTAGAATGTTTAAGACTGTTGTAGATGATATTCCTGTCATACCTGTGATGTGTTTTTTCTTCAGACAGGCATCTTCAAGAACAACTTTTTCAACAATGTGTGAGTAAGTCAATTGTTTTTCCTCTGAAACTTGGTATTTATATGTTGTATTGAGTCAGCAAGTAGTGACGTTTGAAAATAATTCCCCCTCTGCTTTCTAACCCTTCTATTCCGTGAACGTTTTGACTCGCCTTTGTATCAAGAAGTGAGTTTTTATGTCATGTGGTTTACCCCGGTCACTCACATTTGCACGAATACGCAAACCCACATTTGCAAATGATTATGCAAAGTTTTGGCTGCATTTGCGGTTTTCCAAGCTGTGTCGGTTTTTAACGGACATCAAAGCACAAGAACCTCGATCCTTCGCGTACTCTCCCACACATTCGTGCGACCAGTTGCGTACACGCTTGCGAAGGTAACGGAAGTTTCGCCATTTTCATAGTTCGTGACGTCTACTGTGTCGCATACTTCAAATAACTTTATCATGGATTGGAACAACACCAAGGTGATGGAGTTCATTGAACTCCTGCAGAGTGAACCGATTATATGGGATACTCAAAAATCCCATAAAAATAGAATGGCCGTTAATGACACCTGGGAAAGAATTAAAAATTCAGTTTATGTATATATATAGTATATGAACATACTTATGTTAAAACAGTCTATCCGCACTAATAAAATCATTTTCATTGTCCATGATCCACAAAATCGCAAGCAAGACTGAGACATTCGTAAACAAGTGTAGGAGGGAGTGAAAATGGGTTAGCAAATTGAGTATGCGAACCATTTGCATATCCGCTAAGTTTGCGGATGAATTTCTGACGACCCTTCACATTCATGCAAATATTCGTACAATGTACGAATGTTTGCGCGCATGTGAGTGACCCACATTAGTATCAGAGAATCCATCGCCTCATTTTGTCCATTTTGGTTACGTGTTTTATGATGCAATTATAGTATAGGCCTCTAATATAAGGCAGTATACCATCCCATATTTGCAAGATGTAAAATAATGAGAGAGTGATTGGGAGCAGCATCAATTTTTTGTAAATATCTGGCACTTTGTCTGACATTGATTTGAAAAATTCCATCTTCAATTGAACTAGGATTTTCCAGTTCCTTTGGTACTTTCAATACTTTCATATGCATTTAGTAAAAAGCTGTTATTTTGACATTACAAACAAACACTTCAATTTTATTTATTTGTATAGATAGCTTCTAAGTATTACTAAGAATTTAAATTTCAATTCAATCAGACTTCTTAACTTTGGGAAGAAATTTGAAATATTTAAGATTGCTAGCAGTGAAAAATTCTTAATATGACACACTTTTTGATAATTATATAGAAATTATATATGGAATGAAAGGTAATTTAATTTAGAATACAATTTTATTTACATTATACAAAATGCCCTCTCCTATTATGAATACATGCCCTTAATCGATGTGGCAAATCATCAATCACAGCATGCAACACATTCATATCTATTTCTGCCGCTGTTTTAGCCAAAGATGATCGGAGAGATTCTAAATTCTGATGAGGTTTAACGCAGACTTTCCCCTCCAAATGTTGCCATACCTTGTAATCCAGTGGTCTTAAATCTGGATTAGAAGAGGGCCAGACCTCATGTCCGATAAAGTCAATTCAACAGGTGGTCAACCAGTTTTGCTTCGTGCCCTATAAGCTGGTACAGAGTCCTGTTGGAATATCCAATGTCTGTTCTTGAACATGGTTTGAGAAAGAGGTTCCACTATGTTTTTAGGACGGTATTTTGGTACACCTCGACACTGGTTTTTACACCTTTTTCACAGAAAAACACCTCAGTTAAGCCTGAATATGAGACTCCAAGCCAAACCATGAGTGACGAAGGATAATGTCCTAGTTGAACCCTCTGAATACGCGTGCTGACTTCTTCACTACTGTGGGCGTACACTTATCATTTTGTTTATTATAACTTTCTTCGATGTTAAAAAAAATTTCATCCGAAAACAAAATTTTGCGGTATATTTTTCCCGCGTACCGCCGTAACAAGGCGCGGGATCTATCCAGCCAAATTTTTTTTAAATGCTCGTTCAAAAAATGTCTGGTCTTCTTACGATAAGCTCGTAGTCCTAGGTCTTCATTGATCACTTTCTTTTGACCGTGGTTCTGCTTAGGCCCATCTGAAGAGCTAAGATTTTTTGTTTACGAACAGGATTCCGTTAGATTCGCGCCTTCACAGCTTTGATGATCGCGGGTGTCCTAACTGTACGAGATCGGCCGGTTGTCTTACGATCTCCGAAGCTTGAATCTTCAGTGAATCCTTTGATAGTGCGATAAACAAATTGTAGGGTTTTTTTTCAATTATTGTAGAATATTGAAAATCTCTTTTGGCGCGTAACCGGTGCAACGCGATAACCGCTACTCTATCTTCTTTCTTCGATCACTTCATATTTGAAAATGAATGAAAAAAGAAAAAGTGTAAACGTTATATATTTAAAATTGGTGAAGTTCATCTAGCCAGTATTCAAAAATTTTAAATAATAAGGTTTTGACAGAACTTATGACCTGACTAAGCTATCCATAACTTCTCTTTTGGACTGGATTTAATTCCAACTGACTTGACCACTCAGCTGCGTCTCCATAACTATTAAGTCATTGATATATAAGGACCCCTGAGTGCTCCAGGATAAGTGACCATAGTCACCTCCTCAGTCCTACGACAATGTGAGGCCTGTGAGGTCGTTCAGTCAAAAGGTATAGCCAATCAGACCAGAAGATGAGCCATATGTTTAAGTTTGCCCAAAAGACTAGCATTCGGGACCCTGTCAAAGACCTTTAAAAATATTAAGGAAAATAGTAATTGACTGACATTTTCCCATGAAGCCTTACTTCATATGTGTGAGGCATACACTAGAAGGTCCCCTGTAGACTGATTACAGTTGGATAAGTCAATTGACTCATGATCAAAGTCAGACAATTATTTTTAGTATGTAGTCTGATTCTTGTTATTTGGAAATCTACAAACAATATGGGATGAAGAGAAGTAACATTATTTCCTGAACATTGGCCAGTTGATTTGTGGTTGATTTTCACAGTTAGACTCAATTTTATGAAACAAAAATTGTTTCTATATTATGTAGGTTAAACGAACTCATGATAATGATGGAGGAGAATCAGCAGCAAAGAAACCGCGTATTGAAGAAACACATGTACAAAAAGTACGAGAGCAGCTGGCTGCACGTCTTGATGCTCCTAAAGAAGCATCAGTCACAGTGGACAATATTAAGTAAGTGTATGGTTATTGTGAATTTAAAATTTCAATTAAGATACAAACTGATAGTCTTATCAATATGCAGTATGACATTTTAACTTTAAATTATACTATAATTTTCAATATTTACATTGTATGCATTATTGTAACAAAATGAGATGTTGCATAGGACAAGTTGTTGTAAGGAATCTGGTGTATATGAATAAACTATGCAAGATAACAATTGTTACTGCGTATCTGTCTTACAAAATCACAAACGACCTTATTACATTTATTTAACATTTTATATAAAGTTAAAGTTACAGCCTATTATAACGTCCCACTGCTGGGCACAGGCCTCCTCTCATTTCTGTGAGGGTTTCAGGGCAAGGAAATGTTTGCCAAGCTGCCCCAATGCGTGTTGGTGAACTTCACGTCTTCAAAATATATTTTTTCTATTTCTCAGACATGCAGGTTTCCTCACTATGTTGTCTTTCACGGAGCATGTCGTAAATCAGCACTTAAAATTGCAATTAACAATTTCATTGGTGCCGGCGGCGATCGATCCCGGGTTGCTCGCATGCTGTGAAATTTACAACGAGCACTAAGTTTTTATATAGCTATAACATTTTTTAATCTTTTTGTGTATAACACAAGGTTAGCAACAAATGTTCTTTTCCAGGTCTCTTTCAGAGGCTATGTCAGTGGAGAAAATTGCAGCTATTAAGGCTAAGCGTTTAGCGAAAAAAAGAACAACTATAAAAAGTAATGACTACTCTGACACTTTAGGTGTAGTTGGATCAGATTTGAGAGCTATATTGGACTATGATGTAGATCTCACAAAAGATATTATCAGTCGTGAAAGGCAATGGAGGACTAGAACAACAGTATTGCAAAGTAATGGCAAGGTATGTTTAAAAAAAATATAAATTATTAAGTTATTCTTTTCATTCTTAATACCTTCCCCTAAAAAGTTTGATGTTGTGCATTGTGAAAGAAAATGGGGGAAAAAATGTAATAAGTTTCATACCAGCTCAAAGATCTATCATATCCCATTTAATATATGCATGCAAAGGCTTGTTTATGGAACTAATTATTGCAATTTTAAGTACTTAGGCAGTTAACCAATTTCATTAAATTATTTAATATTGAAATCATGTGCTTTTTTCCCTTTATATAATAAAAGATTGAATAAAAATTAGGAGAATGTTAAACACATATTTAAAATGTCAATTGCTATATATATTACAAATGATGTATTCTTTTTCAACTTTTCTGAATAACCTTTTGGTGATGAGGATAGGGAACTAAAATTTTTCACTAATCTTGTGAAATATCATCACAAAAGCCCATGACAATTCCAATTCTATCCCATGGATTGCCATAAACAACACTTAACATATTCTACCATGATCATAACCTTGCTACCATACTGTATCTGCATCTACCACTTAGTGGATCTTTTACTTAATCCAACATTTTGGGATAGAAATGCTTTAAAGCTTTACAAAGCAATATGAATTTTACAAACTTTTGCTTGTATTACCAAATAAAGGCAACATGATCTTTTTATGATGAAAAATATCATTCTATGAGCTAACAAGCTAATACATCATTTAATTTCTTGTGTAATACTAGAAGGGACATAATATATTATTCTATAAAATTTACCTATTTTTTAATTATACAAAGTTTTTCTTGTGACAAATAACAAAATAAAAAAAAATCTCAATGACTATTCACTCTCAAATAAAGTTGAAGCTCTTCATAGGTTGATTTTCTTATCAATTGTAAATGGTAAAAACATTATCACCTACATTATGATTACTTCATTATACTTAGCACACCTTTAAGCTTTGGATTCCAGACTTCAATTCAATCATAAAGTAAGTAAGATGGCTCTGTGGTACAGTGGCTTAGCAATGAGGGTGGTGGGTTCGGATTCCACACGGAACAAGTATTTGTATGGTCTATAAATAATCGTTGCGGGTCTGGATGTTTGTCCTTGTGAAATTCATGTATGTAAACTGCCCCCACGATACAGGAGAAAATCTTAGTATGGAGGTTATATTTATTAATTAAAAAAAATTAAATTAAATCAAAAGTGTAATAAAGATGTTGTTTTTCAGATGTTTGCCAAGAGTATACTTGCTCTCTTAGGTAGTATAAGAGCACGTGAAGAAGGCAGGCCGGGAGTACCTAGACCCCAGCCTGTGGTAATGCCACCTCCAACTTCATTACCTGCGCAACAAACTCAGTATAACAGATATGACCAGGAAAGATTTATTAGACAGAAGGAAGGTTTGTCCATTTAAAGATTTGCTTATTTTTTAAAATGACTTATGTAAGAAACAAGTAATTAAGTGGCTTACAATATTTTTTTCTCTTTTTTACAGAGACCGAAGGTTTTAAAATTGACACCATGGGTACATATCACGGCATGACTCTTAAGTCGGTGACTGAAGGACCAAGTGTGCCAGTAGCGGCGCGCGCACCACAAACACCAAATCATCCACGACAAATGCCATGTATGTGTTATTTTATCACGCAATTTTTTGAATATAATTATTACAGCTTGTTTCCTTAAAAAAAAATTGTAAAAATTGTAATTGTGTCCGTGCGTTAAAATAAAATGATGTCTTACCTACTTTGAAGAGCATCTCCAACTAACAACCTCAATATAATGGATTTCCACAATATAACGCCTGATACTATTAATTATACAAAAGCTAGTTTAGTTATTTTACGTACTAGAATAGAGTAAGGTGTTATTGTTAAAAATGATAATAGAGTGAGAGTAAATGTTCAACTTTCTCTCTTATCTCTCAATTCATCTTTAGTAGCAATGACAGACCATAGCACGCTACACATTCATTACATTTCGACCATACCATAATATGTCTCAGTTATAATACACATTAGTTTAATATGGATAATGTCCACAACATGATAACACCATAATACATTAAGTATGTAAACCAACAGCAATACTGCTTATAATGATATATACTGGTCAGCTTCACTGCAAAACACTCCTCTGTGCCTTCCCTGTTGAGCAACCACAAATAACATAAACATTACACCTAAGATAACCGATTAAATGACTTAGACGAAACCTCCCGGTGAGTCCTCTGCGTTGAACTTTATACTACTAAAACGTGTAGGTTTCGAGTTCTACCTTAGCTTCTATTAATATCTAGGTAATAACAGATGTTTATAAATGACATGAAGAGCTTCTGATTATTTCCATCACCTATTATGACATTCTCGACATTCGGCAGCATGGCACCACTACGTAATAATTTCATACTTTACCGTGTAAAGAGGTTCCTTTCAAAATAAGGAAGTTCTCAATGGGAAATACGATTTTTAAAGGGAGCTAATAGATAATAGAGATAATGTTTCGAAAGTAAATTTGCATATTTTGATAGGCAGTTTATTAAGATTTAATTTAATTAAGATTTTTTTTTATAGAATAAGGTTGACAAACGAACACACAGTCCACCTGATGGTAATGGGTTGCTGTGGCCCATATACATCTACATCTATCTTCGTTTGCAAATGAAAATGCAGATGCATTGTCAGCCGTGAGGACTAAGATGGAATGGCTCGTTTCCAGTAAAAAGTGTCTCCGGTTCTCTACGCTCACCATACGAAACACCGTAGCGTTAAGCTGCTATTTTACGCTGGTATTCTGTGAGAGCGTGGTCTTTCCCCTGTCGAGCCGACCCATTTGTTCTACAATTATACTACTAATATAGTTGCAGCATGGCTCTACCACGTATAAAAAAATATTATAAAGAGATACTAAATATATTAATATCATAGGCTCCCCACAGTTATCTCTGTAGCGTTGTATTTGTTAATTATTATATATAATTTTGCTCGATATTTCTCCAATTAATTGAGATAAAATAAAATTATTCTATACAAAAAAATATTTGCACAAATTTTGTTGCAATGTCAGAAGGGAAAATTATTGATAGTTTAAATTGTATAATTTTCATAGCTTAGCAATTAAACTAATCTATTAATTATACATAAAAGAGAAGAAAATAAATTGTATTAGTTGCTTACTCCATACTACTTAGAGTAGTAGTATATATCACATCTGTAATATAAAGAACAAAGTTTTGTAAATTTTCCATAATTTAAATAAATAATTTATGTTTCTTATGTCTGGGAAGTGGCGCCATATGCTGAAATACAGGTTTTGGCCTAGTTCGGCAATGGATGCTATTTTTCATGTTATAAGATGAAATATTCCTATGTAGTTTATAAATAGACATATTGTTAACTGATATATATATGGAAAATAAAGATTAAATAAATAAATAAATAAAAAATAAAATATTCTAAGCATATTCTAGTTTAGAGGTAATCTCATGTCTTCCTTTTTTTTATAGAATAAGAGTGAACAAGCACATAGTCCACCTGATGGTAAGTGGATGCTGTGACCATAGACATCTACATCTATTCTTGATTAGGAATTAAAATGCAAATGCGTTTTCACCACTGAGGACTAACATAGAATGCCCCCTTTCCAGTAGAAAGGGTCTCCAGTTCTCTACGCTCACCATACGAAACACAGCAGCATTGAGCTGTTATTTTACGGTGTTATTAGTTTGGTTGCATTATTTTATTAATTGACCCGTGTGTGTGTGTGCGTGTGTGTTGTGCGCACGTGCAGCGAGCGGCGGCGCGGGTTCTGGCGGGGTAGCGGGCGGGGGCGTGGCGCGGCGCGAGCTGCTGCCGGCGGCGGCGGCGCGCGCCCCGCCCGCGGGCGCCAAGCGGCCCTCGCGCACACCCATCATCATCATCCCCGCCGCCGCCACCTCGCTCATCTCCATGTACAACGTCAAGGACATGCTGCAGGACCACAAGTTTGTCACTTTTTCTTTTTTAATACAGTTGCTCAAAAAGTGGCGTATTGTGGGGACGTATAGCGTTCGGGATGTGGGCTATTACATACTCGTGTTTTTTCTTTACCTTTTCCGAACTCGTGCGTTCTCTTTCCCAACTGTCAAAATAATGTCTATTAAAAAGAAAAAACCAACCATGAAGTTATTACTAAAAAAATTCATAGAAGTTTTTATGATTGATGCAAATATTTCTAAAAAGAAGCTACTAATTTGTTTCAATATCAGATTTAATGATTTGAATCAATGAGTTAGGTTAGGTTTCATTTCATTTCATCTCATTAAATTTAATTTTCATTTCATATCAAAAAATTCTACTGAATACTTGGCTGTATGGGCACAATTCCTTTTGCCTACCCAGAATGGGTGAAGAAAACAAAAAATCTCTGCTTATATTCTTTTGAGGTTGGCGCCATTTTCCAAAAATTTTCTTTATTAAATTGCTTCATTTTTTCGCAACAGCAACTTGTTCCGACTGTCAACCCTCATCTTTGGCTGCACCTCGGCTCGGTTAGACATTTGTCTCTCTCTCTTTGCAATGACAGGCTTTCCGCACGTGTACTGAACAACTATTTTTAATAAAGTTGCGAAAAAATTAAGCAATTTAATAAAGAACATTTTTGGAATGAAATATACTATTTTAGCTCTATATATGTTACGCGATTCTTTCAATTATGAACCAATTTTAAAGATTTTTCTAAATTTTAATAGGGTATACTTCAGGTCTTCAGAGGTAGTCCCATATAAATTTGGAGAAAAAATTTCACCCCCAAGGGTTGCTAAATAGGGGTTACGTTTTTAAAGCAACAATTAAGATGACATTGTGATTGTGAAATTCCTTAACCTACTCAAGGTTAAAAAAATAACTTTTTATAAAAAGTAAAAGCCGACTTCAAAGAAAAAAAATAATAATTTTACATTCCAAAGTTAGGGCTTTATTAATTCTTCTATACAAGCACCTTAAGTTATTTTGTCAGCTCAGCCTCCCTGAGATACTATCACCATCAAGGGTTACACTCACATAAATAATGTTTTTAGTTATTACCATAGATTCTCTTCTTATATAAAATTACGTTTAGACAATTCATATAAGATATTTGCATGTCTGTCAGTAATGGATGCCCAAAATAGGATGGGGCTTAGCTTTCCATTGACTAACGTCGAGTGGAAGGTTGATATTCTTTACTTTGTTATTCGTTACATTATTATAAGCACTCACGCAAAGTTTCAACATGCGGAAACGCGTACTTTTTGAGAAAAAAATTATTGAAAATCAATTATGTTAGCAATATTTATGCCAATCCCCATTGACTTCCGTCAAGTTGGGGGATGATATTTTTTTTTACAGAAAGGTTACATTATTATAAGCACACACGCAAAGTTTCAACATTCAGAAACGCGTACTTTTTGAGAAAAAAATAATTGAAATCAATTATTTTTGCAATGTTTATGTCAATCTCTACCACAGATTATATCGAATTTTCGAATGGCTTATGAGTGACGTAAGAGTAAGCTGCCATCATCTAAATTGCCCATGCCAAACAAAAACTTGATTAACCCTGGACATTTAGTTGAAATACAGTATCTTCTACAATAATAATAAACAATTGCTTACAACAAAAATACATACTGTTTAATTCAATTATAAGCTTTTTAGCTGTTTAATTTGGAAATGCTTGAAAGACCTTAATTATTATACCTTATTATCAATAATTGCTCTGTAGTTATATATTGAACACCAAAAATCACTTACTTATTAAAGTAACACACATTACTTAAGAAGGATCTAACTCTATAAAATATATGTTTTACCTCCTTGGAGGTTAAAGTTGGTTGAGAGTGTGTAAGGCTAGATCTGAATTCCAGACTCAAAAATTACTTTCTTTTATAAAACTGAAGGGACAAACAAATCTAGCAGCTACTGCAGTCCATGGAAACTTGCAGCAAACTTCAAACAAAGAAAAACAGATGTGTTGCCCGACAGTTCACACCCTACACTTCGCCTGCCGGTACGAGACTGCCAATCGAGCCAATTTAGGGAATTCGTGCAATATTTTACTGAATAACTATATAAAGTTATTATTTCCCTTTCTAAGATAGCTCTTATATAAGTATTTGTCTTTAACACGCTCTTTTCAGATTTGTACCAGTTGAACAGAAGAAAGCAGAAGGTGTGGCACGAGAGAATGAAGTGTTGTTACAAAGAAGAAAAGGTCCAGCTGGTGATCAAGTTCCGAATAACGCAACTTCTATTACTGTAGGTTGACATATTATAAAGAAAAAAATAGAAATAAGCATGCAAAACATATATCTAATTATGGAAGTTATTTTCCATACTAAAAGAAAGAAAAAATATTTTAATTGATTAAATCAAAATAAATGTGCACACATTTTATGCACACACACCATTATTAGGCTGTTGGTTCATTAACATATAATAAGCATTGTGCCTTAATAAATACTGCTATTGTGTAACTATCAAATATTATTACCATCATAGTTCCACGTCTTGTGGAACTATGATGGTAATTTATATACAATCATTTGTAGATCTTACAAATATTTGCGCTGCAGTGCATTGCTAAGCCACTGCGCCACAGAGCCATCATACATTTGGCTGTATGGGGAAAATATCTTTTACTTTTTTATTAAACAAGCAAAGACGAAATAAACCCTAGGTACATAGTTAATAATATTTCTGTAAGTGTTAAATAAGAAAGTTTTATTTAATTTTATTAGGTACCTTATCGTGTAGTGGACAATCCTGGCAGACTATCAGCGGCGGAGTGGGATCGAGTCGTGGCTGTGTTTGTACAAGGACCTGCTTGGCAGTTCAAAGGATGGCCATGGGATGGCAATCCCGTTCAAATATTTGCTAATAGTAAGTTGAGTAAGCCTTTTTGTAGCAATAGTGTAACAGAGATTTATTAGAGGCAAAATGGAGCTTTTGTGCTGATTTTAATAGTGATCAAATTTGTGATCTATTAGATGATAAGACTCATTTTCTGCCTATGAGACGGTCTGTATGAATAATAAATAACCTATTATCAATATGCAGATGCATCGTTAACCCTGAGGACTAAGATGGAATGTCTCGTATCGATTAAAAAGTGTTTCCGTATCTCTACACTAACCATTTCGAAACACAGCAGTGTAAAGTTGCTATTTATGCTGGTATTCTGTGAGAGTGTAGTTCTTCCCCGGTCGAACAGACCCATTCGTGCTACATTCATAATATAGCTGCAACATGGCTCTAAGAAGGTACGAAAACTATTTTTATCTTATTCCTTAGAGGTAACCAACGCATTTGTAGCCATCTTTTTTAAACTTGGTTCCTGGTCTTCGTGGGCTGCAGTAGCTACTTGTTATCAGGTAGTCTGTAAATTTGTGTGTTCTTCGGTTTTATTAAATATGCCGATTTGCGAGTTACATACAGAAAGGGCTATTCTAGAAGTTTCTCTTCGTGAAGGAATCCACAACCGTAATATCTGCGATATGATATTGACTCAGACTCAAATACTCTGATGCTTTGAGTAATAACATAGAAATGCTTGTGCTTACTTAGAGACATTGACATATGAATGTAAACAATGTATGTTTTATTTTATTTTATTTTATTTAATGTATTTGTAACACAAATTTTAGCTTTGTGCTTTCCTTCTCTATAAAAACTAACTTTTCCAAATCTCATACTCCTTCGTTCCTCCTCTCATATTCCCTTCATATTCACATCATCACATGATCATGACATGATGTGAATATGCTTAAAAAGAGAGTTCTCCCTTCACATATTGATATAGATAAAGATTTGAAAAACTAATCAAGGATGACAAAAACAATAGTTTGAAAATTAGTTTGAACTTAATTTGAAAACAGTAGTTTCCGTGACTGTGCTCTATTAACTTTCGACGTTTTAGGCTGTTTCTTCATTTTAACAGATATAAAATATAAAAATATTAGAGAAATTATTTAATATTTTTATAAGGTGCTTAATACGACAAATTTGGTGATTAATAAAAATACTTTGAATGTCTATGTAACTAGTGTATTTGTTCCAGTTTGCGCGTTCCACCTGAAGTACGACGAGATGAAGTTGGACGCGAACGTGGCTCGTTGGGCGGTGACGGTGCTCAATTTGAGTCGCACCAAGCGCCATTTAGACCGCGCCGTGTTGCTCGGCTTCTGGGAGACGCTCGACAAGTACGTATAATATGTTACACTGGCTTTTCTGCCACAAACATTCTTCTCATACTTGATGGGAGTTTTAGCGGGAACTTGACTGGCGGCGGTTTGCTGCTCCTGTATTATCGTTTAAATAATGGTTTGAAGTGGATTTTGATATGTAAAAGTGGTGCGATTTTGTGTATTAATTGTCTGCGCATGTGAACTATTAGTGGAAACGGTAAACAATTGCTCTGATGGTGATGTGATTCTCAAAATAAGATGTCTGGTTGCTTAGGCGCTTTGAGATACCATCGCCAACTATCAGCTGTCTGCTGGCTCAAGTTGCCGTCAAATTCTCCTAAGGGCTACACAATGTGACGCATCAACATACTGTGAAGCAGTACATTATGAAGGATAATTATGCATTGTAACTTCAGGCTCAGAAGGGCTAGAACCCAGAGCCGTAAAGCCAGTAATAAAAAAATCATACTTGATGATAATACGTTCACTCTGTATTTCTTCGGGGCGTAAATATACAATGTAATAATGTTTTAACTACTTATCGGCTAGGATATTCATCCGCGCCCGAAGCTGTAGCGGGCTGGCGGCACGCGTAGATTATAAGAAATGTAAGTTACGTTGTAAAGCCATACTGCAGCTATATTATGCCCGTAACACGAATGAGTCGCCTCGACCGGGGAAGGACCGCGCTCTCATAGAATATCAGCGTAAAATAACAGCTTAATGCTGTTGTGTCCCATATGGTGAGTGTAGAGAACCGGAGGCCCTTTTATTAGAAACGATGCATTTATTTTCTAGATTTAAGTCTTCTTAATCTAACACGCAACTTTCCAGACGTCGTCACAATGAAAAATCTTAGAAAATTCTATGTAAAAATACTTTTTCATGGAAGTGTGTAGCTTCAGCTTCTGAAGCTTTCAATAAGCCCCCTACGTCCAAATCGCCCAAGTTATTGGACGAATGTTTGTAGAGAAGACAATGTTTTGAAGTGCAATAAAGAAAAAAATAAATATTTTCACGGTAAATTTAGGTTTTGTTTAGTTCCAATTGACATCAATTAGTATAATATTTATTATAATGACATTTTTTTATTTTCTAGCATACTTTTTATGCACTTCAATACAGATTAGATTACACAAAAGGAATCTCGAAGCCGCAATACGTGCTTATTATTGTATTTGTTTAAAATACGAATGATATCCTAGTGAGTTAAACTTTCCTGCCAAATGTAAGCAATTAGGGGTCAATAAATAGCTAACCTGTATACCATTTTCATTTGGCTACTCCTCTACCAAATACCCAGTGGCCAATGAAAGATATTAACCAAAGACTCATATGTGGTAGAGCCATGCTGCAGCTATATTATGGTTGTAGCACGAATGGGTCGGCTCGGCCGGGGAAGGACCACGCTCTCACAGAATACCAGCGTAAAATAGCAGCTTAACGCTGCTGTGTTTTGTATCGTGAGTGTAGAGAACCGGAGACCCTTTTTACTGGAAACGAGGCATTCCATCTTAGTCCTCACCGGTGACAACACATCTGCATTTTGATTCGTAATCGAAGATAGATGTAGATGTCCATGGGCCACAGCAATCACTTATCATCAGGTGGGCTGTGTGCTCGTTTGTCACCCTTATCCTATAAAAAAAAAGACTTCTATGTATATATATATTACTATATATTATTATATATTAAGGGAGCCCCCCCTTAATACATTGCGCATTAAGTTGAGGTCAATTCTCCGGAACTCCTTTAGTCGATTGCGAGCGGGCGTGAAAACTAGTTCTTTATTTCGTACACCGCGAATGTTATTTTATACAATCTAATATTGCTTTTGTTTAAAGGAAACTAAGGAACTAAGGAAACACCGTCATTATTTATGAGTCCACTTTGTAAATGTGATTATAAAATTATTTCAGATAAGTATGTAACTATATTTCGTATTTACGTAAACAGAGTAACTGTCGTAAATAAAAATACAACTGGGTACTGGCTACGCCCGCGCTATCCACAGCTGTGACACAGTTTTTGTTGTGAATTGCTGCTTTAGTAGTGGAAAAGGACGGGAAGAGCGAGTAAAGTGTATTACTATAAAATTGACTTTGGATTGACTAGCAGACTGTATGCGAGTGAAATGAGTTGACTAACTGGATTATGTTATGATGGTTCTATTAACGAAAGATGGGACGACTTAAGAAACAATTTAGCAGTAACAATTATTATAATCACTAAAACTATCACTATAATTATAGGGAGCACTAGATGGATTATTTCTTCTTTATCTTCTGGGAGCTCTTCTTTTGTCGCGAATGTGAATGGTTTTCGGCGGGCATGCTCGTGTTATATTCCCGTGGCGGGGGTCGCACAGTTGGCGGTCTCCCACGCGGGCTTGAAGCGCGCTGATTGGTTGCGCGCATCTAACGATTGTGTCGCGGTGTGCGGGGCGAGCGGGGCGTGCGGGGGTGACGGACGGCAGCTCCCCTCCCCTTTCGTAACTAGTAGTATACATGGAACTCTTTGCTATTAAGTATATACGTATACTAAATATGTATTGTATTGTTTCAGGCACATGATGAAGAATAAACCGCATCTTAGGTTCTAAGTATGCTATAGCGTTATAGAATTTTATCATATAGACTATTGTACCATGTGAATATCCGAATGCCTTCAATAAGCATAGAGAATCTAAGTCAATTCAAACCATTTAATAATAATTTGGCTACCCTTGAAATATAATATTTATGTTATTAGGTATATAGAACTGATGTACCTTATGAAATATTAGAGTTTTGCAGTTTTGTAAATTCTACCTATAATTATATAAAAAGTCTATTTATTTTGTGTTTGTACTGCACTCTCCTCACATCGTATATAAAAAAAAAATTATACAAACATATTAAACAGTTTGAGACCATTTTTACAAGTTATTTAAAAGCTCATTTTAAATATTGGACGATAATAATTTTATTTTTAATATCTGAATACAACGATTGGTGTGTTTTAATAGTTCATATTCATACTTACTAAGCTAATGACCACAATATAAAAACAACCTATAGATTTAATTTCAAAGCTCTATAGGCAAATTAATGTACCCACAAAGCATTACTCAAGAACATTTTCATGAGTATATCATCATCATCATCATAACAGCCCTTGACAAGTTCACTACTGAACATGTCCTCCAAAATGGGGGTATATTTGCCATAGTTGCTACGCAGTGGTGAGCGGGCTTGCAACCGTAGTTTTTTATTGTACTATTGCTGTTATCAGAAAGACCCTGTTGCCCTGTTTCCCTCTGTCGCCTCTTACGACACCCACGGGAAGATATGGGGTAGTGGATATTCTTCACTGCTACTTCATGAGTATAAATAGTATAATTATATGATCTTCAATTTATAGTAAATGCAATATAAACTGAAGATAGTGGAGCTAAAATTTTCGTACAAAGAGCAAATTATCAAATAAATTGCGACGAAATATGGCGTCAAAAACCGTTCCTTTTAATTGTAATCTGTCAGAAATCATAAAATAGAACATTTGTATATGTACTTTGTCATTATAAACATTTTTGTCATTCGAATCTATTCGATTCACTGGCTTTATTGAAACTAAAAGAAAACTCATTTTTGTCACTCATATGTATTTAATTACTTAAGAACATCGACATATTTACTGATGAAGACAATTCCTTGGGAAATGTGTATGCTCATATGCTTGCACAATCAATTAAGACACTTTATGAAAGTAATTGTAAAAGATTTTAGTGAGTATAGTAGAGTATTACAGTGATTAATGTGTTCGCGCTAATGTAGGGCTTAGGCAACTCACTTGTTTAAAATCTACCCGTGCCCGATGTAACGTTTATGTATAAAATCGGTCGAATATAGTGATAATGAAACTTAGACAATCATTATAAGAAAAACAACAATATTTCTTGGATTAGATCCACGTGATCATCTCATTGCTTAAACTGTCATGTCGACAGACTATAACTTAAATTAAAAAAATTAAAAACCCCGGAGCAAAAAGAGCTGATGATCATGACTTTCTTGAAACATAGCTAAGAACACTCTCGATTAAGTCACCTTTCCAACGATAAAAACAATCAAAATCGATTCATCCGTTCAGGAGCTATGAAGCAACAGACACACACACATATACAAATATACACAGATACACATTACAAACATATAACACCCCTCTGTTTTTGTCGGGGGTTAAAAATGGACTAAGAAATACACACTAATTTTGTTTTTTTTTTTTTTGCTATGGCGTAATACTTAATGGATATTAGTTCCGTTTATTCGTTTTTTCTTTACTTAATTTATCGAAATTGTTTTGATGAATAAAAAAAATATTTCAAAGCTGTACTCGTATTATATTTAACATTTACGCATAAAATAGTACCAAAACATACGTGCCTTTAAAAAAAATAATAAGCGACTAACGACTATACGTACTGAGCGTAATAGTAAACACGTTTATACAAATTTAAATCCAAGAATTAAAGTACCCGTGTTTTGTTGCCATATAACATGCAATAGGTACTTTCAAGTGAATATAAATAGTCTAATAGCGAGTGAAATAAGTCTGTGATATTAACGATTATATTCCTGCAAAAAGAAATAAACAACCGTAATAAATTGTTGTAATTTGTAAATTGAATGTCAATGCCTGGTTTGTTTATAGTCTTATCTATCTTTGTGTATATACTTAGTCGATTTGGAGATCCAATTGGTTAGTTGACACTACCAATATTAATAAATACAATTATATAATTTGAATTTGGTACTGTTAATAGTTACCTAAAACTTGGTTGATTTTCCAATTCAAGTAGAATTAGATTTTTAGTGTTTAACAACATACAACAAGAGGATTATTATTTGTCTACGAAACCTGTGACATCATTACACTGTATTCGTATCCATTCATGGATCCATTACAGCGTATCAACAGTCCACTGCTGAACATAAACTTCGCCTATAGATTGCCTGATAAGGGGAATGACAGGCGAGTTTCTTACTTCTCACAGTTTCTTATGCCCATATTGTCATACTACTTCTATTAGAAATATTTGTTTGACAACTTTTAAAATTGACTAGAGTCTCAAATATCCAATCAAGCCGTTGATTAAAAAGTTGATAGATTGAACACAAAACTTGTTAGTTTTTAACGTATATATTAGCATCTCTTAAAATGACGACGATGATACCCCACCACCACAAGAATATCTATCATTTCTGCCATATTGCCTTAAGCGCGTAGCGCGTAGGTATGTTCTACTACTAACGCCTAAAAATTAAGATTCCAACGGTTTGTCGCATGAAATCATATCTAACAATCATATTGTACACATAAATGATTGTTGAACTTATTTTTTTTTTCTATTAATAACGCATTATCCTTATTCAACTTTTAACAAAATAAGGTATTTTTATTCTGTACTAAAATTGATATAGTGATTTAATGCTTAGTGTACAAACCTTACTATTCTGTTGAAAAGCAATGAGGAAGTATTTTTTTAAACATCCGCAAGATTAATAATGTTGGTTATATTATTTGTGTGTTTTATTTGTATTCTCAATTCAATTTTATATATCACTGGACATATTACTATGAACTTAATTATTGTAATATAATCAGCCAAGATTTTTTGTTACGCGAAGTTTCCAACAATAGCAGGGCTTGTTTAGTATGGATGCGCGTTAAAAAAGTTAGTTAACATACCTACCTATTAAAAATAAAATTTCGATATAATGTTTTATATTTTCAAAAATTTTGAATTCTAAAACGGCTCATTTTATTAAATTAAATACAAATAAGACATGCAACTAATAAACAAAATTGAAATAGAAGTTCACAGTTCAGAAAATAAAATGCTCTAAATTTAGCACTAAGAGTACATACACAAAGAGAATCCGTAGTCTTTGCTTACACCTCTGGCTGACGGGGGTGAGTGTTTATGTATATGTATTTATGTTTGTATGTATGTATTTTCTTTCTCTTAAATAATTTGAATACATTTTAAAATATTCAACAATTTGACTAAAGCATTAGAAACTTCCATACAGCACCCAGCCTCACCACTTGTCGACTTGTCGTGGCCTCATTACTGCTAAAAGTGATTGCCCGGACGTTTGTTTGATGTTTAATAGGTCTAAATTGTATTTAAATATCGATCGAGTTCGAAATATTTAGGATTATTAAAGTTTATTGTTGTGATAATGGTATTTGGATGTTATGTATGTACATATATGTATCATATAATATAAATTGTACTTAGGTGTTTGTATTCAATAGAGAGCACAAGTCGTTGCCAACTATTTTAAATTACGTCTCAATCGTATTGATGAATTGCGTAGCCAAAATATTTTTAAATGGCGTTGAAATGTTCAAAGATCTGTGATCTTTGTTATATAACAACAATAAATTGTTGAACATTATATTATGTGTTTTTTTTTTCATCCTTAATTTATTTATAATCGAGATTATTATATAATACATAATGATATTTTGATTAAAATCAATATGTGATGCTCTCTGATACAACAATTGCACGAAATAATTTATTGGATAGAACAAAAAATTTGTCAACAAATTGTTTCGCTTTAAAAGATTGAACTACGGACTAAATTTCACACAAAAACACAGTCGAATTGAGTACCTCTTCCTGTTTGAAGTCGGTAGAAAATACCATAATAGTTCAAAATTTAAAATAAAACAAACATGGCAGGATGATGACATTTTCATTTATGACCATGTTAGGAAAGAAGATGGCAAGTTGATGCATTACTATATGAAATATTATCATAGAATAGTGACATTAGCACACGAGTAAGGGAAGGTTGTATAAATATTAACTAATCAGTGATTGTTATAATTGAACCGCTTGCCTTCACGTCCAGCGTAAATGTCTAAATGAAATCAGTGAATAAATTAACTAACAAAACTTATTGGCATGTCAAGATCATACTTTAGACTACAAGGTTGTATGTGTAAGCGTATGCGAAGAGAAAGGTAGTAGTAGGTATCCAGTGTCAGAGGTCGAGCATAGTTAGAAGTCACAAATGTTTTTCTCTTGTAAAAAAAATATTGTGCCGTTACAGCTTATTAAAAGTCCCTTGCTGAACATAGGTCATAGATTATTATAAATTGCCTCATAGATATCAGCCATGGTTGCAACGCTTGGCAGGCAGGTTGGCAACCGCAGTTTTATTTTTAGTTGTTATTAGGAAGATACTGCTGCTCATCGGCTGGTTTGTTTACCTCTTTTGCCTCTTATGACACCTACGAAACGATATGGGGTAGTGTATATTCTTACACAGTCTTTATTGTGCAGACAACTAATTATCGAACATGTCATCATCATTACAATGTACTCGACCTCAAAAATCTAAAATGAATCTTGGTCGTTTCGTTTGAAAGTCTTCGCTTATCTTCGCCTGCCTGTTTATATCATTTACAATCGGCGACACAGGCGACAGAGGCAAGTGCTGTGGACGTCGCGTCGGCGATTGCAAGCAGTATCAGACACGAGAAAAATCGAAACAACAAATTTTGTGCAAATGTGAGCTCAAACTTGGATTTGACTCTGAGGCT